CGTAGCAGTGGAGATACATAAGAGTAACGACTGCAATTTCCCGCTTGCACTTTCCATTGCCAAAGAAAGATTATTTTACTATTAACTATTACTGTTTTACTATTACCCCCAAGGTAGAAGAGGAGCAACTAAGTAAAAAGGTTAGTTGCGTATCCTTTACATGACGTTGCAGAACCAACCCTATCAGCCCCTGGCTGTTGTGTGGTTTCACTGGGCAAATTTACGTCCAGTAGTTTGCCATTGCTCCCTGGACGGTCGGGTCCCTGAAACCAACGCAAGGCGCATGGACCGCAGCTGGGATCGAACCCGGTAACCCCGGCATTACGAAGCGTTCGCATCGACTTAGCCACAGAGCCGACAAGTAAGTAAGTAAGTAAGTAAGTAAGTAAGTAAGTAAGTAAGTAAGTAAGTACTATTACTGTTTACTAATTATTACAAATACGCCACTCGGTGTACATCTCAAGCACAGTGACAAGAACGGTCGCTGTATGTTTACACCCTTTATTCAGAAACTGTAATCTGTGAAAACTACAAATTATTAGTTTTACCATGCTTGCCGTGAACGCGTACTCTCAGCAGGGAAGCCACGAAGAGGAAAATATCACAAAATACCCCCTTTAGAGTAATTATTGCCTGCTAACGATTACACGTGCAAATTTATCACGCCCCGCCACTGTTTCGTTGCCTAGTTGACGACGTGAAGCCCACATCCACATATACCAGCACCAGTATCGTCTAGGGGATTACCCTATAGTACTTGTTATATGAAAAAAATACATATATAAATATAAACAACCTGCTATCAATGTAATTTTGAAACCTGTCTCATACTTCAGGTATGGGAATGATCGCGACGTACTACCCAGACGACAAGGAGAGGGGCAATGCCATGGGAATTGCATTAGGTGGTCTAGCTCTTGGAGTCTTAGGTAAGTTTCCATTATTACCAAAGTAGGTTTCTTGCTTTTCATACGCATATACACTGTGTCCTGTCCCTTCGCGTCTTAAGTAGGTTATCGTTATTATCAACGGTCGTTTCTTGCTTTTCATACATACACACGCAGTGGTCTGGATCTTTGCGTCTCAAATTTTCGTTACTACCAACAGTCGTTTCTAGCTTTTCAAAAGTACACAAACTGTGGTCTGGTCCTTAAAGTCTTAGGTTAAGTAAGGGACCCTTTCTCCACGCCTTTAGGCGTATAGGGCATCTAGGGCGACCTATATTTTATAGACCAATCGGCACAAAATGGGTGATGTGGTCAGCATCACGCTGGCTGCCTTTACTTCCTGGGACTGTACCCGGTACCCACTCAAGGCTGGGTCGACCTGGGAGCCAATGTTATTTTAGAAAAAAGTCTGGCTCCGCAAGAAATGAACCCACGACCTTCCGATCCGCTGCGAGCCTCTAGCCGTTCCGCCACGGCGACTCGCAAAGTCTAAGGTAAGTTTTTGTTTTTATCAACTTGGTTTCTCGCTCTTTATGCGTGCGCACACTGGCAAATTCACACACGTATAAAGTTACAGTTAAAATTCGAGAGTATCGACTTCATTGCACCGGGGTTTTTTTTTTTTATACGCCTTAGTCTCTCGCTGCAGAACTGTTGGCCGCCTGTCGACAGCACGAACTCCGCATCTCCGTCGGGTCTTTTTGAGAGTCTCCGTAAAAGCTGCATTCGTGAACAGAACAGCGCAGTCGTGAAACGAACTTACGACTTTCAAAGTTATTAAGTAAATGGTTTTAACATTTTGCCAAAGAGACTCCCGAACACGCACGTATATACTATATTTATAGAAGATGTGCTAGCCCAGTAGCTAATGATCATTCATTCCTAAATATTGTCAATAAATATGTTTTCGTAATTCATTTGATCTTCTCTGCAAATTGCACATGAAGTCATGGTTTTTGTATCCCTTTACAAATATCAGTCTATCAGTTTCTTTATCGCTAATTCTAGGGTATACACACACAACTAGTACAATACGTGATTCCAGTAATTCTATCCGTACATGATTATCTCGTTTATTGTATCAGGTTTTATTTCTAGTACAGTCTTGAAGCTATATTAGGCCCAGTGACTCATTAGTTCTTTACATACTTCTAACTCATTCAGTACGAAGCAACCCACCGTGCGTTTTTGTTTTTTAAACTGCATTCGTTTTTCTTAACTTCATGTGTCGAACCCAGGTGTTACACCAGGTCAGTCTGCTCCATTACTTTAACTCCTTTTCTTTCAAAGTTATAATTTTTTTATCCATTCTGTTTCATTCATTGTAAAAACAAGAAATAAGCTTAATAATGTATGCCTAGGACTGACAGAGTCAATGCTTCTTCTACGGCTTCTTCTTCTTTTTTGTTTCATCATTTTTTCTTCTTCTTTTTCCGTTGACCCCTCCTCCGCCCATCCCAACAGAGCGTACGCCCTTAACCAGCTTATGTTTGTCGTTCTAACTTTTGCTAGTGCGTGTAGTTCACCCCTTGTTCCCTGAATTCTACTGGAGCTCTTAGATGCAACTAAGAATAGTAACACTGCACCCTATAATGTATGTCGCAAGAGGCGACTAAGGGTATGGTTCGGTTTAGAGTTGGTTAGGTTATTCCATAAATATAACTTTAGAAACTAACCAGCTATGACCAAGTTAAAACTTCTAGTGCTACTTGAATTAATATACACTTTAAAAAAAGACGAAATAAAGCTTAATGCACGCACGTGTGTGTTGCTTGCGAGGCGAAGATTCAGATGCCTACTCTTCGTGGAAACAGTTAGTAGTAGTACCCTGGAGTGGCCGCTGTTTAAGAGGAAATGGCAAACATGGGAATTTCCAATGTGCAGCGACACCGATTGTAATACAACATAACATTTTAAAAAATAATTGGTTATTTGAGAGTCATGGCAAAGCAGCTCCTGTTGTGTCATTAGCATATCATGACGTGCTTTTTATTACTCTGCTGTTGAAGCCTTTCATTTAAAAGTAAGGATTATCAAGCAAAGACTCTATTCATTCAGTCATTGTCATGATATGCCATTATATGTCAAGCATGGCTCGCAGCCTATTCTACTGTTTTTCTTCATCTTGTGCAATTCCTTAAGTACCCTTGCCCTCTCTCATTACCGATCGTTTTGGAATTTCTGTTGGACGTCATCATTTCCTCAAAATATTTATGTCCCATTAGTGCATGTCCTCTATGGTGAATTAGAGTCGGGTAGAAGATTCTGAGGCGACCTCTACTGCGATATAAAGATATGTGAAAACGGGACATGAATGATACGAGTATTGAGGTGAACTCGTGAGAACGGCATGCCAGTGACCGTGCTGTGTGGAGAGAAGAGGAGGGGATAAGGAGGGGAACGAGAATGAAGGAAGAAATGGTTTCAGATAGGATGAGAGCTGAGCGTCTGAGAATAAACAGACTAAACACAAATACTGATAACAACGGTACTGAAATCTCATACAATAATCATGGAAGGCTTGTCTTAGTTCGGGCGGGTCTTATTAGTCACACTTACCATCGACATGGGATGTGAGTCATTTACCTTCTCATATCGCAGTTATGACACAATCTTATGAAAATAGGGAAAGGTGCGAATCAATCAGTGCGTCATGTGACGATTCTTTGCTCGTCTCTCTCTCCCCACTCTCTCCCTCTCTCTCTCTCTCTCTCTCTCTCTCTCTCTCTCTCTCTCTCTCTCTCTCATAATGTGTCTCATATAGCGCATCTTCTGTGTCTTATAACTGTTTTTACCAGTGGTTGCCAGGGCATTTCTCTTATTTCTTCACCCCTCTTGAATCCATCCCATTTTATGTTTAGCATTTTCGTGAGACATGTTTTCAAATGCATTTAGTTTTGGTCCATGTCTTCAGTGGTTCTCCAGCTTCCACTTGCATATGTCAAAACTGAAATAACTTTAGAACTGAGAACAGCCGCTTGGAGGATCATATTTTTACGGCATGGTTTTTTTTTTTTTTTTTAGTATCCAGAAGCCATGAGTTAACCCTTAGGCTCGGTATTATGCATATCGCAACCCTTCGGCCTTGATTCCATGATAAATACCGTAAATCTGGGAGTAAAATGTCTTTTCTGCCTAACCCCCCCCCCCCCCCCCCCCCAGCGTGAACCCGGACCACAAGGAGTTCGTCACCCGGTTACCGCGCAATCCGGTTTAACCAAATACGCTAGCGAGCCGGGCGCATGCGTGGATAAGAAAAGGGGAGGAAAAAAAGATTACCTTCTTCTACTTCTTCTTTAAGTTCGGATTTGTATGCTCAGGTTAGACCATCAGGTGGGTTGCCTCTATGAACTCGCATGTCAGCAGCAGGTCCTTCATCGTTCCCCATAGCTTGCTCTGCACACTTTGCTCTTCAGGCCAGGTATGTTTTTAAAGTTGTAGGTAGAGTGGGAGGTCTGCAGAATCTGCTCAGGTTTTTCTAGTCCTCTTTAACAGGTACACTTTGGGGACTCTACAATCTTTTTTTTTTTTTTTTCAATCAATCTGGTAGTTGAGCCTGCAGATTCCTGTTCGTAGACGGAAAATTGTTGTATGGTGCTTTCTATTGAGCCTGCTGATGTGTTCTTGTGGGTGTTTACTGTTAGTTTGTTTTCTCTACAATTCCTTGTATTTTCCCTTGATATGAGTTTCGATTTCTGGTAATGACAATAAATGGGGATTTTGTTTATCTTTTTTCAATTTTTTGCAAGTCTCTCTGCTAACTCAATTCCTGGTATTTCACAGTAAACCAGGATCCACTGAAGAAAGATTTGATTGTTTACTGAAAATCTGTTTAGCTGGCGGGTCAGTTCTCTCTCCGTGTTGTCTCGTGGATCCCTCTGAGTCGTCTGGAGGGCTGATATGTAGTCACAAAGGAAAACAATTTTGCTGTTTTTAATTTTTCTTTCCATAAGCACTTTGGTTGAATCAATAATTTCTTGCTGTTCTGCTCTAAAGAAATAGAAAATAATAAGGCAGCAAATGTATGTGACAAGAAATGAAAGGAATAACGTGGTGTGGATGGAATAATGTGACAACTATAGAGAGACTGAAGGAAGTTAGGATTAGGTGGGTTAAATTACTTGATAGAGCAGAGGCGATAAACTACTTGTTAGTAGGTTAATGTGAAAACTAACAGTGTACATGCTTAGAAAAGAAGAGAATGTAAACGTTTACTCACAATCATCCTTTTTTGTGAAGAATCCGTGCAGGCTTTACTTCAGTCCATAGAGCGGATGTTTGGGAACATAACAAAGGAATATAATGGGCGTATTTGTTGATTGGTGTACTTGCTTGATTAATTCCGACTAACACAGTCTAAGTTATCCCAAAGGCAACAAAGTTGGCTGTTCTGTCTGTTAAATAAATATAATGATTTTACTTGCAATCTATCGGTGGCCATCTTGCTTCAGGACGGCAGTGTTTTTTTGTTTTTTTATGTTAACATAAAAACACCGGGGGAATCTTTTACCTAATAACTTTGAAGACTGACCAGTGTCCTAATCTCAACCATCGTCATGTAGCAGGTCCTTTTTAGAACGTAGCTCTTATCACGGTCTGACTGAAAGTAACTAGGTCTCTTGAAAACTTTCCTGACTCGCATACTTTCCTTTCCTACCCAAGATATTCCTTATATCATGTTCCTATTTCAGTGGTAGTCCGGCCCTTCCCCTATCTCCGGGTACCATGCCTTCTGCTATAGTTTTTCATTTCACCGTGGTGCTTTATATGGCCAATGTATTTCAGTTTCTGAGACAAGATGACATTAAACTAGTAAATTTTCTTGATTTTTTTTCGATCTTTAAGGATGGCAGTATATATATATATATATATATATATATATATATATATATATATATATATATATATATATATATATATATATATATATATATTGGTCAGTGGTATTCTGAGAATCTTAAGCCGTCATATTACAATAAATCACGTCTTATCGTTCTCTAAATTGGTGGTGTAGCTGTGTCAATGTGCACCATGGTGATATCTGCATTCTTTTTTACGTAACCAAGGAGAGTCCTGCTTTTAAATGGCAGTGAATATTCAATTTAAATTGTTAGTTTACTTAAAAATAATTTATTACATATACGTCTATCATTGTGTGTAATAAGTTACAGGTTATAATAATAATAATAATAATAATAATAATAATAATAATAATAATAATAATAATAATAAAAACAATGAAATGACTGTATTGTCAAGCTTTACGTAACACCGTTAATATTAAGGGATCCTAGAAGCGTTTTGTAAAATAACCCAGTACTATTTATTTCACAACTGTACCAATGATAAGAATTCTTTGGTTAAAACCCTAACACAGAAACTATCTTGTGTACTTATAGCTCTTCAGTGAACAGGTTGCACAACCACATTATCTCTAGAATCATTCGTTTTTTTCCTGGCGGAACATCTGTTTAGTCGAAACAATCACTACAAATCCAAAAACAAACGATATGAAAGACTTATGTCTATGTCTTTCGGTCACTCTTGGCATGAAATTTGATGAAAGCCTTGAAAACGCGATACCTTAACTCACTTTAACTTAAAACCTGCTTGTAACAGATGAATCTACAATTGATCTAACTGACCAACGTTCACCGTGTATCTTTTTTGTTTACCTAGGAAGTCTCGGGCGGTTGGAGGAAGATCGTTCTGTTTTTATTCCAAGCTAAATGATTACGTTAGCCATTACTTTAGCTTTTTTTTTTATTATTTAATAAATGCATTTAAGCAAACCATTGACATTCTCAGCTATAATAAAATATAGTGTTTTATTTTAACGGGGGGAAAAAAGGGGGGGGGGGGGTTCAACAATACGGTGCGGCAGGGATCTTTTATGTAAAGGTATTTTTGTCTATGGTACAAGTTACCGGTTTATAGTCTATAAACTTCAAGTGCTTTCTAGGTTTAAAAATTAAATTGGCAGACAAACAGCTATAGTCCATGTGAAGTAACAAATCTAAAGCATAAAAGACGAACTGACAGGTAGCCTCCAGGTGTGGCAGGCAGACAGATAAGTAGGTATGTAAATAGGTAGACAGTAAGGTAATTAAGTATTAGGTAGGAAGCAAGCAGGTAGGTAGGTAAACCGATAGGTTGGTAGACCGATAGGTAGGCAGGCACAGACGTAGAAAGATATTAGAGATAGTGATTTATTATTAGGTTGATTGATCGATTGAATAACAAGGTTTCATTGTGCACGTGTATGTTGCGTAGCAATTGATGTAGAATATATGTAAGTCTCAAAAAGGCTCTCAATCCCCTGACAAAGCTGGACTTTGTTCAAAAATGACTTTGGCTTCCACATTGACCCAGCCTTAAATGGGTACCAAATAAAGTCCTTGAAAGTGAAAGCGGCTGGCATGGTGTTCACCAAATCTTTCACGCCTAAAGGCGTGGAGAAGAATCCTTTAGGGTGTTTTTTTAACTCTCAAACCCTTACATGTCATGATTCATAAAAATTACTTGATTTTTAGGTTTTCGTTCTTTTGTTAACAATTACCTTGTTTCTGTAATTACGTATTTTCAGTGGGCCCACCTTTTGGAGGGATCATGTACGAGTTTGCAGGAAAAGAAACACCATTTTTAATTCTGGCTGCCTTGGCTTTCTTCGATGGTTGTAAGTATGGCTGGCATAGAAAGCAAATAAACATGCATGCATGTGTGACTGTCACACAGACAAAAGTGATATTTATAAAATCCTGTCAAAGCGAAGTCATATACAGTGAAACAAAGACAGACTAAAGAGAATAATCGTTAGCTTAAAAAAAAGGGGGTTCTGACCCATGGGTGCGAGTTTTGGGCACTGACAACAGCTCACAGAAGCCGGCTTCATGCCTTAGAAATAAGATATCTGAGAAAGGTGGTCCAAGTGACCAGAAAGGACAAAGTTTGCAATCAGGCTGCATGATCTTGAAACCCAGACCTTACAAACGCAAGTGGATCAGTCAGAGTTACGATTATTTGGACATGTAAGCAGAATTAGAGAGAATCGGCCACCACAGCAGACAGGGGAGACCAGTGTTGAATGTTGAATTAAGAATCGACATCACAGCACTCGTGACAATCCTATAAGTGCTCAGTCCCCATTTTCAGTAGCAAGCAAAGAGTTCCGATTTCGATGGTACCAGTAACCGTCTGATTGTATATACGTCTCATCCTTCCCCCGAGTGTTGAGCGTCGGCCAGATCCTCTGATAACTCATCGCAGCGAGGGAGGCCAAGAACCAGGGTACCAGACCAGTAGGACGATCTAGGGCTCGCTGGGAAGACAACATCCGACACTCCCTGACTGACAGAGTACTCGAATGGGACAAAGCCACAAACGACATTCTAATAGAAAAGTCAGATAAACTTCTTAAACCTGATAAACCTCTACACCCTAAGGTAAAAAGAGGAGCGACTAAGTCAGTAAAGTTAATAAATGGGGAGAGACGAAAGAAGAAAACACACAACACACACACAAAACAGGCAAAACACATTAACATTAATTTAGGGGAGAAGGAAACGTGAGTTTAGGCTGAAAAATCATGCACAGACTAAAGGCCGCACACTCCTCACAGTGTCTTTGCCTAAGCCACACCACATACTTTGGCAAAAACTGCAAAACTTCCTCCTATAGCGAAACATGCAAAGAACACATACAAGATACATTCTGGACAAACTCTGGAGAACCCTTGGAGGCTTGCTGCTGATTTGCCGTTTTATGGAGGCAACACAGCTGATAATCTTAGACATGAAAATCGATTGCAAAAAAAAAAAAAAAAGAAGAGTCAGACAAACATACAGTTTAAACACAAACAAGAATGGAATTCGAAAATCACGACTATGTACGACCTGCCGAAGTTTGTATACAGTTGTCAAAGAGGCTACTGGTGTTTATTCTCGTTTGTTCATCCTTGCAGACTCCTACCAGTTTTATAAGTAACTAAAAGGTCCATCTCATACCTTTGGTGCATCGGGTATAAAGCACACAAATAATTGCATATCCTATACGGTCAACTCTCGGTACCACTGTCGAAATCAACGCAAGACAAACCGATGGGATCGAACCCAACACATCGGCATTAAGAAGCACGTTCGCAACGCCTTTGCCGCCAGACACCGACGGGCATAGAGCACTAGAGCTAAAGTTGAACTGACCAATTGGCACCCCAAGGGTGATGTGGTTAAGATCACGGCGGCTGCCTGTGCTTCTCAGAGTATTAACTTTATTATCGGTACCTATGGCCACGGCGTTGCGAGTGAGCTTTGCAATTCCGTGGTTCGATCCCAGCTGTGGGCGATTTAGCAGCATACCGCATTGTGTTGGTTACAATAGAGTGATCGAGAGCTCACCATTCGGGATGCAAAGGCAAATTACTGAACGTAAATTTGCCTAGCGAAATCATAAACAGTCAATGAAAATTATGTAGTTGGTTCTGCAACGGCCTTGTAAACTACACACGACTTTGTTGATTTTAAAAGTAATTACAGTAAAGGAAGGACCCTTTTCCACGCTTACAGGCGTGTTAGGCATATAGTGTTAGACCTATATCTCATACATCAATTGGCATTCAATGGGTGATATGGTCCACATTACGCTAGCAGCCTTTACTTCCCAGAACTTCCTAGAACATTACCTGGCACCCATTCAAAATAAGTCGACCTTGGAGCCAGGTCGTTTTTGAAAAATAGTCCGATCGGATTAGAACCCACCACCTTGGAATCCACAGGCAAGCGTCTAGCCGCTACGCATTGGCAGCTGTCACTATATTGATTATATATTTTTTGTTAAGTAATTCTATTGCTTACAGACATGCACTATTACATCATGTCTCATACTCAGGTCTCCAGTTACTGGCGTTAAAACCCTCCATCAAGCCTGAATCTCAAGAAGGAACTGCATACAAAGAGCTGCTTCGTGACCCATACATTCTGTTGTGTGCAGGCAAGTACTTGAGCTTACTTCAAACACAATGATCTCCTATTGTAAATCAGCGTTATTTCTAGTCGCATATTATGTGGCCGGTCTTTTTTGCTCAAGCCAACGTTCTTCTAACTCTTTCAACCACAAGTAGTTTCTGCTTCAACATTCTCTATCTCTAATTGTTTTTTGTTTTTTTTAATTTACGGCAAAAACGTTTCAGTATTAGTGGTGGCGGCTGGTGCATAGGTACTGCGGCCCTCCAGCATCTATTTTTTTTTCTTTACACATGATAGTATAGACAGCACTAAATACATATATAAACCGTTATTCATATTTTCTTTCCTTTTCTGTTTACATTTAATAATCTATCAGTATAATGCCAGCAAACATCCTCTAGTTCGTAAAATATTTACAAAATCCATTTATGGAACTGCACATTTGACAGTTCTAGCGACACGCTGTTTTGTTTTCCACATGCACACAGTTTTAGAATAAGAAGCTACACAAATGGTGCAAAGTGAAGCGAGAAGAATGGGTTTCCATTTTTTAATGAATGGATCAAGATTGAACTGTAACTATTTAGGCAATTAGAAGACAAAAATAGTTTTCCTAAGATTTCATCAAGTTTATTTTAGTATAATTTAGTTTGGTCAACGAACCAACATCATGGCCCACAGGTATAAACCAAAAATTGCTCCGTTCTACTTCTTTTACGTGCCCAACAATACACACGGGCGTCCGGTCTTACTGCACAGAGACCAGGGGGAATTACCAGAAGTCCACTTGAAAAAATCCCAGCCTTCACCGGATTTAAACCCGGGACCTCCAGCAGTCCCCTTTCATCAATAGTATATACTTTATATGTTTGTTTTGTTTTACAGAACATTAAAATATTGTTTAAGATATTTTCTGTAGCAGCACCCCTTCGAAGTTTAGCTAAGAGCCGCCCCAGAGCATTGGTTAGTTTAAATATTATAGTTATGGAACAGAATGAGTTAAAGTAACAACTGAGATAGAATGGATTCACAAAACAAAATAATGTGATAAAAGAAGTTGAGCAAAATAAACCAGGTGAAGTTAATTTAATATCGGCTGTAAACTCCGACGAAAAATCCTGATTGTTCGTCCACTTCTGGATTTTGATTTTATTCTCGAGTTTGAGTGTAGCGTCCACGTCTATTTTAAAAATCTTAGTGAAAAAAAAAAAGAATAGCTTCTATTCTTCTTCAGTCGTTCGCTTAAAGTAAATGATCTATAACTGCATTGTTGCCTATAGTATGAACTATACTGTCCTTTGTAAGTCACCCAGCGAACCGTAAAGTTTGGCTTCAACCGGTGCTTGCTTCTCTTGGCAAGACGTTTAGCATGATATGTTGTATTTGGGGCAGTCTTGGAGGACGTAATTTGCAAAAATCAACATGTGCACATGGCTTATTCGCCAGTTTTATATTGTGTGTTGCTGTGGCTACGAAGTCGATTGCACCCTGTTCTTATGCCTAGAATAATGACTTGCTCTGGTCTGTCCATAATATGGTAATCGTCTTGTGCCAGTTTTAGTGACTTTCTAGTTGATTTGATATTCCTCTTCTTTTGTTGACACGAGACTGGTATATCAGGTTTTTTTAATTTGCACCTTCCTTGGCAATACGAGAAATTATTCGTTTAAAAAAAAAAGGTGCCGGAAACAATGCTCTGATGAGTCTACGTTGGCTAAGCCCACTGACTGGAAACTTTTTTCTTGGATGATTCCGTAGAACTGTAAAAAGGTCTTGAATTCTTTTTCAGCTTCGCCATCAAGCATTGTCAGAGGCCTTGTATCTATCCTACTGAACTACGACGGCCCCGTGACAGACACTATTCTAGAACACACTTAAAACACACACCTACGGAGTACACACATAATCTTTAATGTACAAAGAGCAATTCAACCTAAAGCAAACCTCCACAGATATGAACGCTCCGTATCTCGGGTTTTCCCCATATAGTGAATTCAGCTGGCTGTTCGCTGGTGCACCTCTTGGTCTTTCAAACACAAACATATGACGTCAAGTCTTGTCTATACTCTGTCCCATACCCTTCCCACAGCTATCTGACACGTATGGTTACGTGCCTCTGCATGGTGTTTCCAGAAAAGGTTATGGTCGTCCCTATGTGGGATGATTTTTTAAGCCCCACCCTGGCTTTTGCCAGAAGCCCTGAATTTAGCCGAGTCAATATTGCCTAACGGCTGAAAGGGGTTTCTGGGACCTCTCCACGCGTGATCTTCATCCGCATGGTGGCATTTTGTGTTACCGGGTGTCTATCACTTGTGTGATGTTCTGGTGGGGTACAACAAGAGAGATAGAAGGGGTGGGAGAGAGTTAGAAGCAGACTAATAGGAAAATTCATTAGCTTCTTTAAAAACTCATCTAACAGTCGGAAAGAGCAACCCATATGAATTAAAAGAGGCAAGGGATCGAAGACAATTTATTACAAACATCAGAAAGAGAGAGTCATATTATGAATACACAGGCGCTATAAATGCAACATTCATTTAATGTTTCACTAACATTTCTAAACCATTTGGCACTCGGTGAATTACGCGGTCGACAACAAGCCTGTCGCCTTCACTTTACAGGATATTCCCAATTACCCGTTGTAGACAGGACAGGATAGACCGAGAAGTTCAGGTTGCTAGTAGAGGTTTCAATTCATTAAATCTATCATAAAACAAGTAAGTAAAACTTGCTAGTATAAAGATCTGATATACAGAAGTCAATCGTAAACAATTTGCCGATTCGCGAAAATATATGTCGGTTCGACGGAGATGTGGTTTTTATAGGCGAAAGATGAGAACATTCTGGACAGAAAAAAAGGTGTAATGAAGATGCCTTAAAAGTAACTGATTCACGAAGAGAACTGATTGCCAACATCAGAAATAAACAATCCAATTTCTCTGGTTATTTCATGAGAAGGATCAGACTGGAGTAAATCGTGGAGGTGGAAAAATTCAAGGAGAAAAGAGGCAGAGACTGAAAGAGATGTTTGTCAGTGTGATTGCATCGCTTCGAAGATCGTCTGTTTCAAAAAAATAAATGTACACGAGACACAAGATTGTGGATAAAATGACTGCCAGCGCCCTACGGCGTAGGATTAACGTTGATGTAAATAAAGGACACTCTTCAGACTTGTGGCACATCCAGTATTTGAGGCTAGACTCAATTTTGCATAAATCACTTAGCAGTCAATGGGGAATATGGTAAAAATCACGACGACCGCCTTTACTGACTATGACATTACCTGGTACCCATTTGAGTTTGGGTCAACATGGGAGCCAGGGTCGATTTTCAAGGGAAAATCCGCCAAGATGTGCATTTGAACACATCTTCGGTCAGGCAGGCTGGTATCTAACCACCATTCTGCTGTGGATTTCACATTTTTGATATTTAAGAGACATTAACACATTTTAATTGCAGGTCGTAATTATGTGCGGCAATGTGGTTTGGAGTTAAGACAAATCTTCCATAACAGTGCAAAGCTCGACGTTACCAGCATCCAATTCCTGGTGTCGATTTGGAAAAATACTGTTCCTGTGGCTTTCAGTAGAGCGAGAATTACGCCGTGGAAACGGTTGTGTACTCACTACATGAATATTCACAAAATTAGCTGTAGATGCATCACAAGCAACTTCCATTGTGGAGACTGCACAGTTTTGAAATTAGTGTGTTGAAGAGTACATTTTAGATAGATAAGAGTGGGATTAAACAAAGCTAAATCATAATCCCCTCTTTCTTCGTTCAACGCAATTGCCTGATTGATAAATTTTAGGTAGCAATAGAGACGAAACTAGCTGTCATCCATAGTAACAATAAATGATGGGGAAATTGAAAAAGTCACAAACTAGGTTCCCTAATAAACAGCAATAGAGACTGCTCAACAGAAGGGAAATAGAGGACGGCCATTGCAATACAAAATTTACACGGCATTAAAAGCCTATGGTTAAGCGCCAGCGAGAAAAACAAAGTTGAAACATTCAAAGAGTCTATCTTCCCTGTAGCAACCTAGATGTGAGTCACGGATCTCTGTCTTTAAGAATGAAAATACGGGCTTGTGAGCTAAAAAGCTATAGAATTCCCAGAATGCTATGTGCAAAAAAGAAAGGAAAACCTGGCATTAAAAGTTCATGGTGGCCTAGAAAAAAAAAAATTATGATGGAGGGTACAGTTTGTTGGAAAAAAATACACACACACAGGCCGTCGTTTGCGACGGTCAATACAAGACACTAAAGACGAACTGGTTATGATAAAAAGGACTTGTAAATTGGGTAGAGACAGAGAGGCAGAGATATTTGCAGGTGTTCCGTGAAGATAGTGACGTTCTGTAAAGAGACTGCTTATTAATGATGATGATGAATTTTCAAGTGTTATATTTAAAGCTGCCATTCCTTACAATCGATGAACAATGAACAGAGAAATGAAATTTTTGGAGCGGGAAAAGGAAATGAAGGGAAATCCTGCTAAGGAAATAATAAATACAGAAAATGAATGTGTGTTTTTGTTAACGAACTTTGCGATTTGCTTGTTTTAGGTTCAATTACTTTTGGCAATATGGGAATAGCTATGATGGAGCCCTCTCTACCAATCTGGATGTACAAGACCATGCATTCTTCGGAATGGCAACAGGGTATTTATCTTGTGTCTCGGCTCATAACTTAAATTTTCTGTTTCTTCTTTTTCTTCTTCTTCTTCTACGTCTTCATCTTCTTTACCGGCTGAAAACTCTGGTGAAAAGGTCTGGTTGTTCGTCCACCTCCTAACTTTAGTCTTGTTCAATCACCTGAATATTGCCTGCACATCCGTTTCATCGATCTGATTTATCTGTGTGCAAACAGCCAGATGCACTCCGACTTCGAAGGAAGCCCCAAGTTTATCAATTCCTATGGTATACTTTTCGGTAAGGCAGTAGGTATATTCTTGTTTTCCCTACAATGGGTCATTGGAACCCAAACAGGTATAAACATTATTATTATTCTTAACACTTTCGTCTTTTCTATTTGTTTTTCTGTGTCCCTTGTTCTATGATGAGAAGGTGAAAACTGGAGTAAATCGTGACAATGAAAAAGTTGAATGGGAAGAAAGGCAGGGAAGGGGGGGGGGCAGAGAGGAAAGATGCTGGACAGTTTGACATCAATGCATGGAGTATCATCTGCATCAGAGTTGATTGATAGCACAAGAGACAGAAGTTTGTGGATAGACATGACCACCAACACCACGCAGCATATACTTTATAAAGATGTCCCTTGTTACAATTTCTTTATTTTCATTGTATCTTTTTCGTTAAGCTCTTCTTCTGACACTTCCCTCTCCTCTTCTTTCTCTTCTATTTTCTCTTCCCCTTCCTCTTTTCCTTCCAGTTCAGCTCATTCCTCTTCTGCTTTTTTTCCTCTTTCTACTACTCCTCATCCTTCTTTTCTTTTTGTTTCGTTTCTTCCTTTCCTCTCTGTCTTCTTCTTTTTCTTCTTCCATTTTACTTTTCTCTTCTGCTTCTCACCCCTCCCCCCCCCCCCCCCCAACCCCCGTTTTCCTTTGTTCTCTTTTTCCTCTTTTCTTCTTCTTCTTCTTCTTCTTCTTCTTCTTCTTCTTCTTCTTCTTCTTCTTCTTCTTTTTCTTATCCTCATCTTATTATTATTATTATTATTATTATTATTATTATTATTATTATTATTATTATTATTATTATCATCATCATCATCATCATCATAATGATGTATTAACATGTACAATTTCTGTTTCCTAGGGATTGCATTTTTACCAGCAAGTATTTCTTACGCAATCGGTACCAATGTCTTTGGACCTCTAGCACACAAGATTGGACGGTCTGTAATTATTTGCAGTTTTTTTTTTTTTTTTTTGCTGTATTTATCTTTTATGCAATTGTATTTGTACACGCATTACCAAACTACAGTGGAGACAAGTCCTCTTCATTGATGAATGTCGCGTTACTGTGTCGTTAAAATATGGCAGGATTCGAATTTGGAGACGACCTGGATAGCGATTAACTGATGACGCAATCCAAGAGGTGGATCGTTATGGTAGGGTTTCTGCCGTAGTCAGGGGAGGCTTCTATAGAAACGACAGGACCCCACTCTACATCATCCAAGACAACTTGACCAGCCTAAGAAGATACAAGAACGAAATCTTAAGACCAACTGTTCAGTATGCTCTGGAGGTCATATATGGTAATGCCATCATACAGGAGGATAATGCTCAACCCCCATCGATCTCGTGTGGTAAATGAATTTGTTCAGCAACAAGAACAAGAGATCAGCAGGATGCCGTCGCTAACTCATTCACCCGACCTTTCTCCTACTGAGCACCTCTGTGATGTCCTTATTTGAAGATTATCAACAAATCACATTCTGCATTTCTGCCTCAGGAAAGCCAAGCTCTTCCCGAGAACACAACGTCAGTCCCCTGAGGACTCGATGCGTCTACTCTGTCTTAAATGTCTTGCTGCAAAAAGCAGTCATTATCTAGTTGTCGGCTATCTATTGTGTAACCTCTAAAAAGGTGGATGTCATATTTCATAGCGTTGTGGGTTTGAATATGTGTTTATTTACCTGACATGTCAGTCCAGTATTCAACAAATGCCGTTTTCACTTAATTACTTACATTTAAATGAGATTTATTGTATGGTTTCAGCCAAGGTTTTTTTTGTTTTTTTTTCTAAGAGGCCTTTGAATTTTGAAAAGTAAATATTTTTTCATGTTTTGTCTTTGCCTCTCTATAGGTGGCTGAGTGCTATGATAGGAATGCTGATAATTTCTGTCTGCTGCTTCGCTGTGAGTATCTAGTGTCCTAATGATATTTAAGTAACTATACAAGACAGTATACATACTGACGTCAGCTGTAAAGTAAATAGTCGCAGAAATCTAGAGTGCGACATATCCCTTTGTGGCCAACGATTTAAGACCACATAGTAAATAACTGATATGTCCATACTATTATTGTTGCTCCAAATGGTATTTTGAGCACGTAAATGCAATCATTGCAGCCTATTGAGTCATCCTGATATTATAACATGTAAAAACATTGACTTTTGATGTTTTAGTACCATATTCTTGTTTTAACAGCATTATCTTTTAATTTTTATCTGTGCACGGTATTCAGGTAATTCTGATTATGTTTGCAAACAAAACTGGCTGAAAACCTACACTTTCAGCCATTAGGAAAATCTTAAATATGAACATCACTTAGAGATTATACTTGTAAAACTATTTTTTGTTTAAACACAAATTATACTATGCATTTAGTTTCAAATGCCGTACAGTAAGGATGTATTAACACATCGCATTAAGTTACATGTGTAGTTATATTTTTAAATATATATAAATTGATTAATTAATTAAAAACGGACATCACTGCGCAAGGGACATTTCTATAGTGCTCCGTCCCGTCATAAGCCAACAGAGTCCCCGTACCTGGTGCCTGTTGCAACCCCAGAAAACATTCGCCTGTTTTTTCACTGCGGGTAGAAAATCATCCAGACCCTCTGCTCACTCCCCGCTGAATCATTCTCTCCAGATACGAATGTTGTGTCTGTTCTTTTGCACTTTTTGCTTGATCTCAGAAAGCCTTCATCGCGTTTAGTAAATTAAGTAAAGTAAAGATCCCTTTTTACGCCTTTGGCGCATTGGGCATATGGGAAGAGCACCCATATTGTTACAGACCAATCAGCAATAGGTGGGTAAAGTGGTCAGCATTATGCGGGCCGTCTTCAGTTCCCCAGGACATGCATCCTGGTACCCATTTTAGGCTGGCTCGACCTGCGACGCCCCATACCATCATAAAAATCCACGCTGTTAACAGTGGGTTTCGATCCCTGTACATGGGAATCACGAGTCGGACTCGCAACGCCTAAGCCACAGACGACGCTTCATCGCGTATGTTTTATCATAAAAATAGTTCATCGACCCGACTGGGCAACAGGAGCGAACAGTTCGCTTTCTGGTTACTACCCGAATATTCTGAGCAAAAAATCCACAATATGCTTCTTATCAGAATCTACAACACGTCACGCAGTATAACCTGAGTTCGTGCTGTGTGCAAAGCTCCCAGACTGTGGCTAGACGTTCTGAGAGAGACCCAGCCGTATGGAATAAAAGTGCAAAGAAGTCTATAGAAAACTGTAGAAAATTAAGCTAGCCTAAATGTATAGCCTAGTTGCCTCTGGTCATTTTTGCTTCAGTTCAATTCTTGTTGATGATGCAGGGGGGGGGGGGATTCAAGATGATGGATATACTTACATATCAATAATATAAATATAATATACATACTAGACAAAAGGAGAGAGGTGGGGGGGGGGGGGGTTGCGTTCACACAGAAAAATAAATATATATGTTTAATGTGACGCCGTCTTTTTTCGCCAGCAACTAAGCGGTAGCCGAACTCATCCCACACATGAAGAAGCATCTCTTGCGTCAATAAGTTCATTGCAGCTGTGATATGAGTGATTGGTTCTGCAACTGCGCTCTAGCGATAGTATTTGAAATCTTAGACCTCCCACCCCCCCCCCCACCACCCTTTTTCCACCCTCTCATGTTTGTATGTTATTCATATGTAATGCATGTTCTGGAAAGATACAGCAAAGAAAGTGTATCCAGCAGTTTATTTAAACATGTATATCTTACGAGACATATGCATTATGTTTTCTGTATCAAATACAATTATACATTTCAAAACAGCTTCCGTTCTCCAAGAACCTGGGTCATCTAATAGCCCCAAATTTCGGAATGGGCTTTGCCATTGGCATGGTGGACTCCTCAATGATGCCCCACATGGGATACCTGGTCGATCTACGACACGTGTCTGTCTACGGCAGTGTCTATGCTATTGCTGACGTGGCATTCTGTTTAGGCTTCGCCATTGGTAAGTGAGTGGGGTCCTTGTGACAAAATGGTTGAACTGCTTGCCTTCTGCTGTGCCACTGTCTCCACCAACAAGCATGTGGTAAGAATAGACTAAATGGGGGTTTCTTTTGAAGTCGGAGTGCATCTGCCTGAGAGGCAAGGAACCAACAGTTTGCAAACAAATATGTCAGATTTTTAAAATGGATGTGCTTGTAACTCAGGTTCTGGAATAAGGCTAAAATTCACAAGCGGGCGAACAACCAGAACTTTCTGTCGGAGTTTACAACTGGTGAATTCGAAGAAGAAAAAGGAGAAATCATGCCTTCACACTTCAACAATTATCTCGAAAAATACTTTACGGATCAACACATATGGCCTTAGATTTCCCATATCCTTATGATTTTATAATTTACAGTACACAGCTGCTGCTGTTTTATTAAAGCGGGAAATTTATCTGATCTTTGACAAACATGTGTTTACCAGTAGGGAAAAAAAGAATATACACCAACAGACACACGCATGGAAATTGTTCTAAAATCAGTTAGCATGTGCAACGATGCGTCGTGATTATTTTGATAGCCTATTGTACATTTAATGACACAAACCACAACTTCCTATTTGAAACGCTATCATTTAAGTTTAAGCATGCTGATAGTTTGCATTGAATCGGTGTCATATACGCAAGCTAAATGCAAACTTGCAAGGATATGATTATTGACATGATCAGTGCAAAATTTAAAAAATCTTCACAAAACTGACTGACTGACTGACTTTCTACCCCACCAGGACATCACACAAGCGACAAACACCTGATGACACAAAGTGCCAAAATGTGGGTGAAGATCGCCGTGGAGAGGTCCCAGAAACCGCGTTCAGACATTTGGCCATATATATGGCCTGCCTATATTGCGGCCCCTGGCAAAAGCCAGAGTAGGGCTTCAAATGACAAAAAAATTATGTCCTCAAAAGGACGTAAGGCTTTGAACAATGATACTTCACAAAACTGTTACTGTGCCAGATTTCAACAACCTTCACAGAACTGTTACTGTGCCAAATTAGATCAACCTTCACAGAACTTGACTTGACTTGATTTGAAATGTTTGAACAAAATTTTTTTTTTCAACACGGACTGCTTTAACCTGCCAAGAGGGCTTGGTGTAGAACTGTTACTGTGATATTTTTCAACAATCTTTACAGAACTGTAACTGTGACAGATTTCAACAACCTTTCAGAACTGTTACTGTGCCAAATTTCAACAACCTTTACAGAACAGTTACTGATACTGTGCCAGATTTCAAAAACCTTTGCAGAACTGTTAATGTGCCAAATTGCAACAACCTTCAAAGAAATGTTACTGTGACAAATTGCAACAACCTTCACAGAACTGTTACTGTGATAAATTGCAACAACCTTCACAGAACTGTTACTGTGATATATTGCAAAAACCTTCACAGAAATGTTGCTGTCACAAATTACAACAACCTTCACACAACTCTTACTGTGCCAAATTGCAACAACCTTCACAGAACTGTTACTGTGACTAATTGCAACAACCTTCACAGAACTGTTACTGTGACAAATTGCAACAACCTTCACAGAACTGTTACTGTGACAAATTGCAACAACCTTTACATAATTGTTTCTGAAATACAGATTTTTTTTTTGCACGATTTCTGGAACGAACTTGGTGAGATTTTTTATGAAAACTGCAACGTTATGCAACTTTGTTGAGATCGTCATTGGAGCCATACATTACTTGCTTTGTGTCGCGCAGGCGGCAAGCTATTCTGCTAAGAGACCGAGCCATACGGGGAGGAAAAAAAAGCGTGCTATGACTTGAAACGAAAAAAAAAAAATGTGTGTGTGATTGTGGCAGTTTTGTGATTCCTACTAAGCAGCTCTGCATTCAGTTATGACAAGGATAATCAAACCAGAAGACAAAGCTAACTTGGTTACTAGGAATAATCTTGATAATGTTGCTGCTATAGACGACAGGAAACACTGATCAATTGAAGTTTATGTAGATTGCAGACAGGCAGATACGAGACATGTTAGGGAATATCAGAAGACAATATTAGACAGAGAAATTAGTCATCCCAATGGAAACACGGGGTAAAAGAGACAAAGGTAGGCAGAGAAAGATGCACGTGGTTGACAAGTTTGGTAGTTGGCAACAATGAAGAACGTAATCAACATTATCTTCATCAAAATACTTAAAAGAAAGATAAAACGGAATGTGATTTGATTCGATTCAAGAACCGACATCACAGAACTCGGGGTATTCCCATAAGCGATCCTTCTCCATTTTCAGCAGCCAGCGAAGAGTTCCGATACTAATGGTGTCAGCAGCAATCTGATTAAACGTCCGTCTTGCCTTTCCTCTGAGCCTCGAGCATCTGCTAGAACATCTCGTCATCCCACCTCCCCCCCCCCCCCCCCCACCCCCTCTTTTGCATCAGTCTCACCAGACCAGTGATCCATCTACTCCTCCGAACTACACACGCTCTTACACAAGGCACTAACTACCTCTGCCTTGTCATGCATCAGTATTCCACCAAGCCGTGAATGTGAGAATCATTCCTATCTGCCCCGAATAAGGTCTAACAGAAAGACAGGCAGACGTATAGACAGGGTTGGGTTTGTAGACGGATGGATTGGCATAAGGTCTACATACGCACTGATTTGTGGATTAATAGTAAATTCATCGATTAATTTATTTATTAGGGCACGGATACATGTAGAGATAAATGTATAAATAATTGTCTTGTTTTTTTTTTACTGAAACAGGACCAGCATTGAGTGGTACTATAGTCGGGAAAGTCGGCTTTCACTGGTAAGGCTTTTAAAGTTTATAATGCAAGCACTGTAGGATTCGGGAGTCGGCGTCGCCTAGCGTCTAGACGCTCGCGTGCGGATCGGAAGATCGTGGGTTCGCTCCCTGACGAAGCCAGACTTTTTTTTTTTTTCAAAAATTACCTTGGCTCCCAGATGGACCCAGCCCTGAGTGGGTACCAGGTGCAGTCCTGGAAAGTAAAGGCGGCCGGCGTAATGCTGGCCACATCACACACCTTGTGCCGTTGGTCCATAAAATGTATGTCTAGCCCTATATACCCAATACGCATGAAAGGCGTGGAAAAGGGTCCCTTACTTTTACTTAACTTACTGTGGGTTTCACGAATAAAGTGTGTGAAAGGTGTATGCAGGTGCCGTTATTAAAGATACAGAGGGTAACCGCTAGCACCTGAGCTAGATTGGAACGACTGATGGAAATATGAATTTAACAGACAAATCATATGGTGGTTGAGCAAGACCATGTAGGTGGGACGTCCTGGTGATTTGCTGGTGAAATAAAATCCTTGTAAGAGAATTGGTTATGGTCATGTGTGCGACTCATTGTCTTCGCCATCAAACTGTCTGTGGCTACTGCTACTGCAGAAACGGCACCCAGTTGTCTGAAGCAGGACTTAAGCTAGACATACAATATGACAGCTTCCCGTGCGGGTTAGGGAGCCCTATTGTTGGGTACACAAGAACAGACCCATTGATTCTACAACTAGCATGTCGCAGGAGTCGACTAACTGGGAGCTCCTTCGAAGTCAGAGTGCATCTGCCTCAGAGGCAAGGAGCCAGCAGTCTGTATGCACATAAGCCGGATTTGTAAAAAAAAAAATGTGCATGGAACACTGGTTTTGGACCAAGACTAGAGGTCAGAGGTGGACAACCAGCCACAACATTCCGCCGGAGTTTAGAGCCGATGAATGTGAAGAGAGAAGAAGAATATATCAGCGAGTTCTAGGATTAGTTGGAACTATGAGACCAGAAACAACACTGTACTAGTGATTAGCCAGATCTAAATAGACAAACTGCACTGCATGTTTGAAAGGTGGTTTATGTAAGACTGGCTTCTCATCCCTACAAAAAGTTTAGTTGCAGTAGTAGTAGTAGTAAATTTAACCCGACCAGGACATCACACACGCGATAAACACCCGATGAAACAAAGTGCCACCATATGGATGAGGTTCACCCTTGGAGAGGTCCCAAAAACCGCTTTTAGCAATTAGAGAGTATTTATGGCCGGGCTATATTGCGGCCCCTGGTAAGAGCCAGGGTAGGGCTTGAAAATAACGAAAAATTGGATCACATAATGACTGTTCACAATCTCTTCAGTCATATATAAGCCTGGAAATTGCTTGATGTATTTCTCTCACAATCAGCAACTCAACAGTAAAAAGTCCAACAATTAAATAATAAGACTAATTTCGTAAAATTTAAAATAGTCAACAGTTGAAGATGTAAACTGTATCTGATTCAAAGTGAGCCCCTTGTGCATTGATACGGCAAGTGGCATGATCTTACAAACACTGAGACGACCTCTGTAGTTCATCTGTTGTTATGGCCCTTAATGTCGACGTTACGGCCCTTTGGATGTCATCAATTTTGTTAAAGAAGCGTCCTTTCAATCGTAATTTAATTTTGAGAATAGAAAATAATCAGAGGGAAACAAATCCGGGCAATAGGATGGAAGGCTGAGATCACACATTTGTTTTTGGACCTAAAATTTCTTGTTTTGGTCATGTCTCTTGGGTACTCAACCCCCTGATGTTTTTGGTCATCAGATAACGAATGTGCTTCAAACCGGCAAGCAACTTTTTTTGGGGCCAAAATCTTGCACTAAAATGTAATGAATGGTCTCTCTAATAACACCAGATTCATCTGTCATCATCCTTGCAGTGAAACAATGATCTTCTTGTATCCGTTTTCTGACTTTCGCAATGAGTTCTTCATTACGAACAGAAATTTGGCGCCCATTTCTAGGTGCATTAGTAATCATTTTCACACCATTTTTGAATCGTGAATAACGCCTGAAAATTTTTTTCACGAGAAAAATAATTATCCCCATAAACTTGTTGCATCAATTCAACTATTTCAATGGCGATTTTTCTGAGTTTTAACAAGAATTTAATGTTAGCTTTTTGCTCTGTGCTGATTACGTAACAATGCATCTCTGACTAGGTCAACAAAATGGCGGTTTGTTTGTTGTCACCTTATCGAGCGATGATGAAAAGTTGCCAGATCTTAGATGAATGTTGCCTCTTTAGATTCGATGCTTTGCTTTATAGATTACCTAATTGTCCGACCTTGTTATAAGGAACAATATAGACGTAATTCTTTTTATACTTTTTTTAAACACATGAAAGAAAACAAAAAGAAAGAAAGAAACGTAAAGTTATCCTGTGTCATGACTTTATTTGATGACAGAAAACCCTTACGCCTGTAAATTCTTCATGACCTAGATTTTTTTTTTTTTTTACTGTCAGTTGACTGGTTGGGCAGTACGGTATTCCTGTTTGCAATTCAAACAATTTCACTGATTAAATCTTATTGCATTTATACAAAATTATGTTCCTTCCAGTAGTTATGCATTTTTGTAGTAAAGTTTTAATGAATAAAGAAAAAAATATCTCATGATAGGGCATTATCCTTGTTGCCCATGGTAGTTCTGGTGTAGATGAGCTGAGAGTTACGTATTGATATTAGACCCATCAATCCCTTTGGTCACCCACCTTTTGAACTGTAACACCCCAGAGACCATACATGAAGTGATTTATTTGTAACTGGTACCTTCTTGTGCAACTTGCCAATATTTAGCCGATAGAGTTGAGTTGGGAATTGATATCACAGCACTCAGGGCATTCATATTCGCGCTCCTTCCCCATGCTCAGCAGGCAGCGCAGAGTTCCAATACTAATGGTGCCAGTCGTAGTCTAGTTGTATGTCCGTCCTGCATTTCCTCAGAGCGTAGTGTGCCGGACGAACCCTCTGGTCACACCCAGGTGCATCATTCGCTCCAGCCCATAATAATCTAGTTTCTCTTCTGACTTCGTTACTGGTTTCCAAAGGGCACCTGCCTAGTCATGCATCAATTTACCAACCAGCGGTGCAGATCCAGCCAGTCAGTTTGCCTGTTTATTTCCTACCACGCAGGTATAACCTGGAGAAATGATCCAAGTAGCTCACTACCAGTGACCTTACAAGTGAAGCTTGCTAAATAGCCGATAGTGAAAAATTATAAAAATTGCAAGAATTTCTTATCACACTGACATGCTATGTAAATTGTTTAATTTATCTGAAATAATTTCTACAGGATGCTTTGGATCATCGCGATTGTAAATCTGATCTACGCCCCGCTTATGTTTTTCTTGAGAAACCCACCAGCCAGAGAAGAGAAGATGGTAAGATGCATACACCCCACAAAGCCTTTCCGTCATCATTTTTTTTTTTTTTTTTTCGGAATTTGCACCAGTCATCCGCATAATTGCGAATAAAGTTTGTTTCAAAGACTGTTAAACTATACATTTCATTAGTAGACTATGTACTTTTCATGTCTGCCATCATTTCTCTAATTTAATCGTAGTCTTGGTTCATTTCCTAATTTGACTTGTGTAAGGTTGTGTGATTTTGAGGTTAAAGACAGATCTAGCAAGACAGAACTGATTTGATTTGATTCAAGAACTGACATCACAGCACTCAAGGCATTCCCATAAGCGATCCGCTCCCATCTTCAGCAGCCAACGAAGAGTTCCGATACTAGTGGTGCCAGTAGCATTCTGATTAAACGTCCGTCTTGCCTTTCCTCTGAGCCCCAAACATCTGCCAGAAACTCTCGTCACTCCCCCCTGCATCAACCTCACCAGACAGTGGTAATCCATCTGCTCCTCCGAACTGTACATGCTCTTCCACAAAACATTACCCACGTCTGCCATATCATGCATCAGTATTCCGCTAAGTTGTGCAGAGCCAGCCAGTCTGTCCGCCTGTTCATTTCCCAACACACCGGTGAAAAATCCAGACAATACTCCTCACCCGTGTCCTTCGCGGCGAGACATGCCACTCTGCACTACGCATGCCTGTCCTGATCTTCCTCAGCATGCTTTCTGAGTCAGTTACAATCACGATATTTGTATGTGTGTGTGTGTGTCGTGTTCTCTAGCCAGCGGAAAGTTGCAGTGACCGTCTCCACCTTCATTTTTAAGCTGGATGTTGTCGTATCATATGCTAGGCTCTCCTGCACCAAACGTCGACCATTAACTTTTGCTAAGAAACCCCAAGCACTTCTTGTCGACTAATGTTCTTAAAGATGCAAACCTGTCTGATTGTTTTATTTGCCTGAGCCATCCATGACTTCCCTCAAAAAAGAACTGTGAAAGGAAGAGTATGCTGAATTATGTGTTCGATCAGTATGCTCTTTTGTCGATTCTTTAAAAAGTCAATCAGTTATTCTTTTATTCAACATGTATTAGTTAAATCATTTTTTTCCTTCCTTGTTCATTGCGTGTAGGAGAAGGCGTTGGCTTTCGTGACTCTCCATTCATATATGTTATTTGATATTTTTGATATACTGACAATGAATATACTTTTTTTTTTTAACTACTTATGTCGTCTAGATAATTTCTTTGATTTTGACTGAACCCCTTGCCGAGAATCCCCCACAACCACCATTTGCTAATTTCCTAATTCTATTTCTGTTTTTAGAGGGATGTGGCTAGCAGGTTTGCATCTCGGCCTGTAGGTCTAAGTTCGAAGCAGCATTTGAAGCGGATAATTAAAATGGGCCAAGCATTCCTTTAGTAGCAGGAACATGTCATGTGAAGTAAAGGCAGTCGGCGTGATGGTGATTACATCATCCATCGAGTATCAAATAATCCAAAAATGTGTCACCATACGCACCAAATGCTCGTCAAAATATTTAAAAAACGTGTACTCATTTACTTACTTGATCTGGGTAATCAAGAAAAGAAATTTACACCCATTATTATTATTTTTGTTGTTGTCTTTCCAGAGCCTGATCATGAACGACCAGTGTCCGGTGCAATACGTGACCTACAACCAAAACGACGCAAGTCCACAATCAGAAGAGGAATACGATTACTATGAATTTAAACAAGGGCGTCCTTGACACCACTTACATTGACCTTATTAGTATACGTAGACTCGTACAGGAGCCAGTAGTAAATTTAGCCAAAGTAAATATTTTTCTTTGATTCATCATCGTTCATAAATAAAATCGGGGCTGACAAATCGCAGTGCTGACAGACAGCCCTAAACTTTGTATGGAAATTGTTTACTGGAGCAGCACAAACAGATTGGGATTGGATTGTAGGGGGCTGAGTGGTCTCAAGGTATGGTATCCGCCTCGGGTGCTAGAGGTCCCGGGTTCAAGCCACAGTGAAGGCTGGAATTTTTTCACGTGGACTTCTAGTAATTTCCCCTGGTCTACGGGTAGTAAGATCGGACGCCCGTATGTATTGTTTCTCACGTAAAAAATTCATTGGCAGCTGGTAATCGAAAAGAGTAGCCTAACAGCTCTGCCCCAGCAAAATGTGGAGTTGAAAATCTGCCCAAAGTATTACAGGATCCCCGCCAGTGCTACGGAGTTCGTGCACTGCAATGAGATTCTTTAGACTCAGACTTGAGTTAGAAGTAGAAAGGAGCACATATGGGTTACTACCATTGTGCCAAGATGTTGATCCGTTGGTCAAACCCTGAACATGAGGCAGTAAAGAAGACGAAGGACTGAGTGTCTTTCTGGTAGGCTGTGATTGGAGCGATGTTATGTCAAGAATGTACTACATGATAAAGATTTTTTTTTTAACCCTGTGATGTATCTACAAGAAAGCTTAGCTACATTGAACCACTGTTGTGTTTGGGGATATTGCCTAGTTAGGCCCTCTCTTCCACGATGAGGGTCTCCTATCATTGTCCGAAATCCACGAGTATGATTGTTTTGTTTCTTCAACTGTTTGCCGCGGGAAACAAGCCCTAGTATTCAAGGATTATCAACTTGTTAACCAATTGGCTATACTCTAAGCTACAATTTAGTTGCGTATCCTTTCCAACGTTGCAGAACCAACCCCAACAGCCCCTGGCTATTGTGTGGTTTTTCTACGCAAATTTACGTCAAGTAGTTTGCCATTGCTAACTGGACGGTCGGCTTTCTTGATACCACTGTCGAAACCAACACAAGGCTTATGGCCTGCAGCTGGGATCGAACCCGGCATCCCGGCATTACGAAGCGTTCGCATCGACTTAGCCACAGAGCCGACCTAAGCTACAGAACCGCACAAAAAGAAAAGACATTTGTCAAATAGCAATATAGGACGCAATCGTTTGTTATTTTAAAGCTACAACCCGACTTTTGTTACAGCTCTAAATGTAACCTAGCTGTTGAACTGTGTTTGAGGGACTTTAGCCCGAGTGATTCTCATCTAATGGTGAACTTTTTGTGACTAGGAATTAGTCACTTATTGTGCGATCCTGATAGGATTCAATGACACTCACTCGCACAGTTGTTAAATATAGGTCTCCCAAAAATGTATACTCACTTCAGTAAAGGATAAACAAGTAACGAACACTTTTAGCTGGGGATGAATACATCTTTGACTTCTCATAAGTTTTAAAAAGGGTAGCAAGTTAAATGGGACAGAAGAAAAAGGGTGAGGGAAAAAAATAGTAGTTATAGGGTACATAAGAAAAAGGGTGAGAAAAAAGTAGTTTCTGTTAGCTTTACAAAATGAATTATAAAAAAAAAAAAAATTAATTAGTCTTATTCAGCAAACAAAGACAATACCGCACACATACACACATATACAGTGACCATGAAAGGACTACATTAGAATATTATGTACACGATTACGGCAAAATTCTAATAAACTACAGGCTTAAACTAAGTACCCAAAAGCATTATCATGGGTATCCGAGCAAACCGCCACACAGGCAGTCATTGTATTAGACTACATGAGTATGCTTCAGAAGATAGCAACAGGCGGTATGCGCTCTGATTTGATATAAAGCATTCGAAAATCGCATTTAACCTCCCTCACCTGGATCCACACACCGGGTCGTGGGAGCGTAAAGGAAAATGATTGAGGGGGCCAGCTGGCTAGAGCTGCACTAAGGACTGCGGGAAAAAGCATAGACAAAGCAGATATCTTCAACGTTGTACGGACTGGGCTAGTGGATAATGAGGAATCCCTGACACTAACGCGATTGCGTGACATGGGAGTAAAGCATGTTGAAGCTTGTCTATGCCGTCTTCGAGGCCGAGGTAGAAGACAATATAAGCGGCTTATTATTGGAACAATTAGTAGAAGTACTTTGGAGTGGCTCCTGCATCGGAGGAATGAGCACGCGTGGAAATTCCCAGTGTGCAGTGACGTCGATTGTGATAACATAACTAAATATGTGATACTTATCTAGGTCGCTGGTGAAGTTTCGAGATAGACCTCAGCATGCATTATCAGACAATGGAAGCGCTAGCCCTCATGTCATCCGTTAGTCTAGTTTGGCCTTCTGGTAGTATGCAAGTGATCTCCCTGTGTGGGTTTTTGGGCCCTTTTATGGGGGGGGGGGAGACTAAACCCACTGCCTACCCAAAAGCATGTCGTAATCGTAACTGGGAGCTTCCTTCAAAGCCAGAGTGCATCTTCAAGGCAAGGAACCAGCAGTCCGCATACAACTGAGTCAATTCTGTGAAACGAATGCACACACAACACTCAGGTTCTAGAACAGGACTGCAGTCCAAAAGTGGATGAACAACCAGAATTTTCAGCGTTTACAGCTGGTGAACGCGAAGAAAAAAAAAAGATATGCAAGTGATCAAAGTGGTTGCTGTTAGCTTCAACAGCACATTGTGCTGTGGTTTGCAGCTAGAGTGCGATAACGGCGCCTTTCGGCCCCTACATCTGGTTTCAACACACATATACATTTAGTCACCTGTTACTACATACTTGTTAAGGAGCGATTGATTTGTCACCCACAACCCAATCCCCCATCCCCCCCCCCCCCCCCCCCACCCCGCCCAACCCATCAGAACCCACATGGGGAGATAAAGAGTATCACACGTCATACTTATCTGCAGGGGGCATGAAACATGTGAAGAAAACAAAAACAACAATGCAGAATGCAAAAACAGACTGTTTTTGTTAAGAAACTGTCTGAAATTGAAAGCTTAACTTTTATTTGAGATTAAATATGCTAATAAAATCATTGTTAAAACCACAATTTTTATCAAACATTTTGATGTTAATGTTGTGCAGTAGTTGTGCAATATTCGTTGTGCAGTATTAGTTTTTTATTTTTTTTTTTTTTACATCACAGTCACGCACAACTACCATTGCCGTCTCAATGGACTGCTTTTTAGAGCGATGTAAGTCACGGGCTCCTTGAACCCGTGATAAACTTTTCGTTCGGTTTTATGTCTTTCCTTTTCTTAAACCCGTGCTTTTAAACTGTAAAAATTAATTTTTTCACAGCCCTGTACACTGTTGAAATGTAGAACTATGTTATCTGATTTTTGGATTTAGGTTTGCCTCCAACTGTATGTGGATCAAAGTTATCACAGGCCTCTTCACTAACTGGGGACCTGAGCCTTGAAAGAATGAGGCTCCTGGGTGTAACCAGGGGGTCTGGCAAACTCACTAAACTCAAACGAAACGTAAGACAGACATATAACCAGATTTTGACCTGTACCATCAGTACTGGAACTTTGCGCTGGCTGCTAAAGATAAGGACGGAGCACGCATGGGAATGCCCCGAGTACTGTGATGCCAATTCTTGACTGAACTCAACTCGACTGCGAGAGGGTGGGGGGGGGGTTGGACGGTCTCGAGGCATTGCGTCCGCCTCGAGTGCTGGAGGTCCCAGGTTCAGCCAAGGTGAAGGCTCGAATTTGTTCACGTGGACGTCTAGTATATTCTTCTGGTCTTTGGGTAGTAAGATCGGACACCCCTGTGTATTGTTGCTCACGTAAAAAAAAAAAACCTTGGCAGTTGGAAATCGATTAGCCTAACAGCGCTGCCCGGGCACTAATCCTGAATTACAAATCTATCTAAAATATTTTCATGATACTAACCGGTGGTACGGAGTTCGTGGACTGTTCTGAGATTGTTTAGAATCAGGCTTCTGTCAGTAGAAGAAGCACTTATGGTATACTACCCTTATGCCATAATGTTGTTCCGTTGTCTAAAAACTTTTCTTTTAAACTGCAACTAATTGTAATATTTTATTAATTGTTTAGCAATCATTTTAAAAAGGGACGCAGACAGTCTTAATGCTCACTACACCTTGTGGTAAAACAGGGTTGACACCAGTATACAAATGTTTGTGTCACCCAGAGACAGTCCAGACAAATATAAATGCGTTAAGCCGTCTTTGTTCGACATAAAATGAGATGCGTAGTTCGAAAAAAATGTTAATCGATGGGCAGATACAGTTTACATGATAAAATAAACGAGCTGTCGGCACCCTGTTTGGTTGCCTAACGATCGGCTGAATTAACTAGCTTGGTGTGGTTAGTTGGTGAGAACGGATGTGACGGCAAAGATAATTAGAGAGCAGGGTCAATGAATAGAATGACTAGACCTCCTTGCTTGTCATGCTACCTGGATTAGGCCGAAAGGATAATTTCTAGAACCTTTCAGGTCCCTCTGTGGTGACGGATGCAATGATCAGAGAACTGATTTGTATCTGTATACTGGGATTCATCACTGGCAGTTACGTATTAGCTGAGTAAGTATTTACGTTACTGTCCGAATTTAATCAGACTCATTTAGAAGTAATAAAAAAGGGGTTGGTCTATCTCTTTCTCGGTCTCTCTCTCTCTCTCTCTCTCTCTCTCTCTCTCTCTCTCTCTCTCTCTCTCTCTCTCTCTCTCTCTCTCTCTCTCTCTCTCTCTCTCTCTCTCTCTCTCTTTCTCTTCTACTCTTTATGCGCTTAGGGTGTCGATGGATATTCAGGTTCGACTTCTTACTCGTCTGGCGGCATCAACCATAAACACATCGTGCTGTTAAAAATTTTATCTGAAGTTATTTTTCCATCTTGTTCTTTGTCTACATTATGCTCTATGTCCCTCTCCTCCGTTGGTGTATGCCTTTTATGGTGTGGCGTCACAAGGTATTC